AGTTTTAGGTTGGATTATTTATAAACTTCAATAATTTTCATATGGTATACTTTTCTATTTCAATCTAAATACTACTATTAAGAAAGCGCACAATATTTTTCTTAACAAAATTATTGACTGAATTAAACCATGCAAGATAAACGTGTATCTAAATTTACCCAGGTGAGAAAAAACGGCCCGTAAACGGCCTGAAACGGCATTAAAACGATGTAAAGCGTTAAAAAACGGCGCCGTTTTCCGCCAGCTCGGAAAACGAGGAGAACAATGTTAAAAGCGATGCCCGTTTTCTAGCAAAAAAACGGCCTGTAAAACGAGCTGACGGATTACGGCGAAATAAGGTGAAAATTAATGCCGTTTTATGTCGCTTTATAGCCGTTTCAGGCCGTTTCCGATGGCCTTTCAGACGACCGGATGATCCTCCTGGGTATTTGAAAGAAAAAACTATGGCTCTTTTTATTTATTCTCACCCAGAAGAATGACTCCGATAGTGGGATCCTATCGGATTCGTGTCGGAATTTTATCGAATATAGTATGGATTTCATTAAACAGACGAAATCCTGTCGGCATCCGAGTAGGGATGTAACAATACCATTTCGAGACACATAAAGATAGCTAATTTTCACAATGAAAATCTAGCAATACCAACCAATACATTGCGTTAGTTATAACAATACTCACCAATACTCGGGATCGTTTCTGTTGGTATTGGTATTTTATATACTCCTCTCAGATAGAGCTAACTTCGCTTGTTATAACTAACGCAAAGTATTGGTTGGTATTGCTAGATTTTCATTGTGAAAATTGGCAATCTTTATGTGTCCCCAAATGATATTGTTGCATCCCTATATCCGGGTGTGGGACCTACAATCGGAACCCTAGTGTTGGAATCCTACAGGTTCTAGTGCCGGAATTTAACGGAATCTAACATAAGCATTCGACCCATGTGTTCTGTTAGCACCATATGCTTATTCATTGGTGATTAAGAAAAAAATATTTTCCGTCGGATCCGTTAGTAGATCCGTGACCAGGAATCTGATCGGATTTTGTCGGATCCCATGAGATCCGATAGGATTCACTGTCGGACTCATTCATCCGGGGCATAGATGAATGCAAGTGATAATACAACAAGAAAAGTTATTGATAAAAATGTTTTTTGTTTAGTTAAAGAATGACAAAAAGAAAAGGAGATTTGCGTTAGTTTTATAGAACTATATGTAATTTCGGTCAGTTATATACATATCAAGAAAATCCAAATAAACACCGACACTGCGTACAGTACAGACATCTAGTTATTCTATGACATTTCATCGATATATTTTTCATTCTATCGATTACAAGTACAGATCTGATTCAGTCTTTCAGTGGCATTTAGTTAATAGTGTAATATATTGCATCTAATTTCAAGAAATGAGTCCAAACCTTATCTATGATGTCTTTATATTACTTACTAGAATAACTAATTTGAATTCTTATAAAATCTTTAAACAAATAGCACACTACTTGTTTTCAAATTTTTACACAAAATCATATTCAAGATATGATTCATTCTTTTGTTTTGAGTAATGTCTGAGTTACAATATGTTATATTAAAATTATCATTACATTAATTGAGAAGAATTCGACAAACAATTATTAAATGAACAGAAAAAAGGTATATAAGAGAGAAAAAACTCTTGAGAAATTTCGTCATAGGTTTCAAGTTTAAACCCCTAGTCGAGTATTTTTTTTCAAGTGCTTGACAAGTCTTGTCCTCAATGTGTATCCATACCCAGGTCGAATAGTCCGACCTGGCAACTGCCGGTTCCGAGTAGTTCCGTTGATTTTGTGGAAGCAGTATTCCGATTGGAATATTTTTGGATTTTTTCCCGTGATTTCCGATCAATTCCTGCTGGAAAGCACCGGAACTTGACAGGAATCGGCCAGAAAAGTTCGGCCATGTTTTTGACCGGAATACTGTTTCCATGTTCCAGCGATTTCCCGTGTTTTCCTGCAGGATATGGTGAATTCCCCACATATTTCTTGGAGTATCCTACAGGATCCGGTGGCCGGAATGTTCGACCTGGGTAGTACATGACTTCCTTTCCATAGACAGGCCCTTGAACGGTTGCGTCATTTATGCGGATAGATAAATCAACTCATGCGCTGAACTCATGCAAATCATATGATTATTTGTGAAACAACCAGTTAGAATTAAATACTCGAACCTTTTCTGTCCTAGATAATATGATGATTTTGTTTTCTGAAATTGTTAAATATAGTTAGTATGTAAATGGGACCTCGGTATTTCAGCCCGATGCGACATGAAAATGAGCGTGAGAATGAGTCAATTTTGTGATAAAGAATTCATTTTTCAGGTCGAAAATCCCTTGGGCCGAAATTCATGTAACACTGAATGGGAAATATGTTTTTTCAAGCACGGCAGAAGTTTTTATTGTTCATTTTTAGATTTTTTCCTGACCAAACAACATAGTTGCTCGTCTAATAGTTCGGATAAATTCTTTCTATTGTTTTTGACCAGTCAGTCGTATATATAATATGCATTGCCAATTTTAAGTAGTTGACGGTTAGTGGCATCTGATCAAGTGAATGACTGAAATATGGAAAAAATGGCATATTTCCGTTGCACAAGCGTAATTCAGGTGCTTGAGGAAGAAACGCAAACACGAATAAGAATTTCAAGCGTGTTAGCTTGAAAAAAGACTTCATGTCTTGCGTCAAGATGTGTCCACAGTTCTTGACTTTCTTGTACAAGGTACTCAAATATTACATGTGCTTGCAAAAAAAAACGTTCGACTAAGGGAAGTGTTATTTATTCATTATAAGATACTATTTATTCTCATTATCTTTATAAAATCAAATCCTTAAAACTTCTGTTTATGTGACTGTTTTTTGTATTTAATTTTATAATATTGTTTTCAAGATAGATAAATAACCTATTGGACATAATTAATATTTCTCTCTCGTTTTATAACAGTTGCTTTATAAAATTTTCAGAGAAGTTGAAAAACAAAATCAAAAGCATCAAGATTTAAACATTCAACAAAGTCTGGGAATGTTCGGAGTGAATATCTATAAAGAAATCCTAACCGATAAATATCCATCATGAACAGTATTTGTCTTGTATTATGAATCCTTTTTAAATTTACAATAAAAGACTTAATTCATCATTTGCTCTGCATGCTTTTAAATCACTAATTCAATCCAGATTAAATCATGACAAACAATGGATTCTAGATTCTTTTTTAGTTCATATCGCGCCTCCGTGTGCCTTCAGAGAATTCTTGTTTTAATATCCGTTTTCAGCGGAGTTTTAGCGTAACTTGAGGCCTACTTGAAAGCTCAATAACAATATATTGTCATTTTCATATGAAATATTACTGATGAAGAATTCGCATGGCAACTTTAATATAGTGAAAATTTCAGACAAATAAAGTGTTTGTTTTCGTCGACATATTGAATTCTCGAGTAAATTCACTTCTTGTACTATGACTGTGCCAAACAAGTATCTTTTGTAAATTGCATACTTTCAAAAAGGGAACTTTCTTTTTGGCGAAACTATTCAAAATGATCTCATGGTGAACGGAACCGTACTTGAGCTACACTTTAGTTGGAGCTACTGATTTTTTCGATATACAACTAAAGCTGACTAACACATATTATAAATAATATCTACATCATAACTATTTTTGTCCCAGTCCGTTTGTTTTTTACTTGATGATAAAGAAAACTTGCAAGTTGGTTTGAATTCATCCGTCATCCGGCTATTGAGACATTTCAAATCTTTTTTGTCACTGAAAAATTTATCATTTTTTGTTCAGCTAGCTACATCGAAAGTTACTCACAACAGTAACATAATTCTTCTTCTGAGATCTCTAATTTCTATAGAGTTTTTCTTATTGATCAGCTTTTTAAAACAGTTTTCCTCTTTCCATGAACAGAAGAATAGAAAAATTTTGATTAGTTTTCACAATTTCAGAACTATACCATATGCGATTGAGTCCATCCTCATTATTTGATGACAAGAGTAGCATTTTTTGTAGCGAAAAGATCAATTCAACAAGTAGAATAGTTGCTGAGAAGTCTTGTTTTTGTAAACAACTGTTAGGGTTCTCGCTCACGAAGAGCGACGAACACTTTAAACGTGTGTGTTTTATTATCTCTCTGTTTATTCTTTTAGAAAACAAATGTTTATATACGCACACGAAAACGGAGACAAGAAAATAGAGGGAAACGGAGAGAGAAAGGAAAAGACAAAAGAAAAGAGAATAGATAGAGTCGAGATATACGTTACAGTAGAACACACCATAACAACAACTCATCAAAGTGCTCTACAAGCATGTAAATATAATCACAGAGGTTTTTCTGTAATATTCCGTTTAAAAACTTCTAAGAAGATTCTGTAGAATCTAGTTGAACTATCGAAAGCACAACGATTTTCAATCAGTAATATAAAAGGAATCGAAAAAACCTGCATACGTATATCACAAGTTGAATAATAAACAATACACAAACATAAAATGTCTAGTTCTATCCTTGTCACATAGTACTATTGTTTCTCTTGTCAGTACATAATAATAGCTCTAAATAATATTTCTAAATTTTTCTCTCATACAGAGAAACTTCGTACTTTCATCCATTATGGTGAAAACAAAATACTATAGGATTCACTTGATCTACCTACCATCAGAGATATTCTGTTCCTACTATGGTAGATAGCTTACAGAATAGTCGCGTACATAATTTAGTCATGTTTCTTCCTAAGAAACAGTTTTGAATTGTTATGCTCTTGTAGTTTTACATTTGTTAAATGTTCATTAAAAATATATTATCATTCGCATTTATTAGATAAAAACTAGAGTAAAATTCATTGGTTTCATATCGTATAGTTAATTAACAAAAAAAGAAGAACTCAAAAAACAAAACTCAACGAAATCTATGTAAAAAAAGTAGTAACACGTTTTGTTTTGTGTATGCTATCTATATCAATTGAGCAATAAAAATTAATGGTGATGGTGATGAATATGATGTTTTTGTAAAACAAATGTGGGTTCATCCGTGTTAACACCGTGGCATCGTTGCATATGCGTTTTGAGTCCTTGTCTTAATTTGAATTTTTTTGGACAGCGAGCACACTCGAAATTTCTTATAGCTACATGAACAATACTATGATGACGATTTAAATTGGATTTGTTTGAAAAATCACGTCCACATAAAAGACAAGGAAATTTCTTTTGATTTAGTTGTTTAGGAGGTATAATTTCATGTTCATCGATTGCGTTCGTTGATGTTGGAGAAATCGAGGATGATTTAAACATCTGATGATGTTGTTGAGCAAGTAAAGCGGCATGACGTGGATTTGAAACAATGGCAATTAATGCTCCTGTTGTTGGATCAATAAATGGTGGAGTAGTTGCCAATGATGAGGATGCAGTTTGTAAAGTTAAAGATTTATATGCTGAGCCAAATGGTAGATTACTGAAATCGTTATGATGAGCATGTATACCAGTTGAAAATATACCTGTTCGATGATGTTTCGATGAATGAGAATTAAATAAAATTCTCGGGGAAAGTTTTTCAGTCGAATGAACTATTGGAGAATCTTAAAAGAAGAAGAAAAAAGATGCAAAGTTATGCATAAATGAATTTATTCGTATTTTTGATTACTTGATTGTTCAGCGTGATTGAGCAATGAAGGCTAGAACAAAAAGAAGAAGAAAATTTTTATAGAATGAAGAAAAAGGAGCCGTGGTGTTATTTTGCTTTTACTTTATCTTCAATATTAATTCTGTGCGCTATTTTAGATTTACGTCGTTTAGCACCAACTAATGTCGTTGTTGACATCACTATAGATGGTGAATGTTCATGACCATTCATTGAAGGTATCGTTCGAAGTTTTTCCTCACCTTCTTCAGTATCGTCGTCATCATCATTTACTGGGATTTGCTAAAAAAGAATTGCTATTAAGTAGACAAATACGAAAAAAAAAACAATTGACGTACTCGATGATTAAAAGAAAACGGAATAAAATCATTTTTGTGTTGTTTTTGCCCTTGGAAAATAAGTGCACGTTTATATAGACTACGTTCAATTTTATTCATAAGTATTTTCTGTTCACTATCAAGTTTTTCAATATGGTCTTTAATTTGTTCTATTTGTCGTATTGTTTCACAACATCGAAAACATATTGCACGATTATTAATTGTTCCATTATGATTTTTAAGCCATAGATTTTGAAATTTTTTCGATGATGAAATGAGCCGCTCGATCGATGCGATCGAACAACGATTACCATACCGTCTATTTGATGACGAATAACCAAGTGTAGAACTAGTTGTATGGGTGTATAAAAGAGCATAGCATAGGGAACATCGACTTGTTGTTACACCGAATGTATGCATATTTTAAGAAGCTTGATTAGTTCAATTTATAAAAAATAAATAGTCAGGACCTTTTTATTTTGTTTGTTTGTTTCTTTGTTTCTTTATTGCGCTCTGCTCTTTTTTATTCATCCGCACGTGATGGTGCTGATAATTGTCGCCATTATCGTTATATTCATGCTGCTGTTGCTGCTACTCTACTACTGACGATGCTAGTAGAATAAAAAATCTTCAGGATGATACATTTTCCGTATCGAATATCAAGCAAAAGCGACGACTACGCGAGCGCGCGCGCGCTCGATCTTTAGCGTGATGATGAGAACAACAACAACAACAACAACAAGAAGATATTTTTTCTGATCTCTTTCTCTTTCTTTCAGAGTGACTTGCATAATCTTGGAATTTTTCCTCTTGCTGATACTACTTGTCGTTTGTACAATTCCCATCTTTCTTCTTCTGCCTTTCTTTCTTTCTCTCTGTTTATGCCTCTCACACAATTCTCTTCTTTATGTGTACCATTACATCACCGCACTAACTTTCGTCACTCGCACATAAAAACGATCGTTGATGTATATTTATGCGCGTATCCCTCGGAAGATTACTTCTTTCTCAATCTGTATGTGTATATGTGCGTGCAAACCAGGCGTTCTCTGAAATGAGTTGACAAACATTCAAGTCGATCAATATTTTTTGATGGACTGACGTTCTTTCTTCTGATAGAATGCAAGTTGATGACATGACAAAAGGGTGCTATCAAGAAAGAAATGTTTTTTCTCTTTCACACGAGTAATTCCATCGATGATTATGGTGATGATGATGATGATGAGAGCGACATCAAGATCACCTCTCGCTTCTTCTTCTTCTTCTTCTTCTTATCGTCATCAACGGGAGCCAACACAGTGTGCATAATGTAAAGTTAATTTATGAATGATGGCTAAATCATCAACAAGAATTTCTCTTTGTCTTATGAAATAAAAATAAATAAATGAATGAATGGATGGATGAGTGAATACAGACAAAGTTACATGCTTGATTCTTCGCATCTATATTTACATTTGTGATTTCTATATACATATTCAATGCACTATTGCATCGAGTCTCTGTTTCCAAATGAATCTCTTTGTATTAAAAAGAACAAATAAATTTCATATCACTCAGCATGATATAATAAACTATAGTAAAATTCAGTTACGAACAAAAACAAAACAAACGCTATACCAAAAGCATCTTTTTAGTTAAATATCGGCGTCATTTATCCATAGCGTTAATTTAGTTAACTCTTCATGTGATATAGAGAATGCCATCACTGTCCCATCGTCCTCTTTACTCTTCTTTTTCTTTTTTTAGTACAGTTGATTGGATTACTCTTCTGACTGCTTTCACCATTCAAGGTTTGATGGAGCATGCATCCATAAACATCTTCGCCTCGCTCTTTTCTCGTCATCGCCCGTCGACGATAAATACCATCAAGCAGAGATAACAGGCATGTACGAGTAAGAGAGAGAAAAGGAAGAAGACACAAAGTGTGAGATGTACATGCATTACTCGAGATGCGTGTTTGTGTGTGTGTATGTGTGTCATAGCGTCAGTATATTGAAAAAAAGCAGTAGCAATAACAACAGTAGTACTAGTAATAGTCTTCCATTATTGGGCGTCTTCTCTTTCTTTTCCGTTCGAGCGCGATGTACTATCTACGTGTCTCTTCGTCTTATATGCACAACGATGATTGACATCACCCATGAGCAGCAGCCGCTCGAATACGGCAACGTTAAGAATAGATACAGAAAAAGATGGCTAAAAAGGGAGGGAAGCGTGGATGGCTGGGGTGACTTTTGAAGGAAACATCTATGTATTATGCAGCAACGGCCAGAAAGAGTAGAAGAATGTTGCCATTTGGGTTTCAAGTGACTGACGCGCACACGCAATACAACTATCATCATCATCATTATCATCATTCTTCATAAAGAAAAAGTAGTTCTGTAAAAAAAGAGGAAAATTACGGAAGAGAAAAATGAGTCAAAGCATACATATGACGTGAAGAAAACGATACTAATCATCATTTATAGCCATGGCATTGCATGCATATTTATTTATATGTTCTTTTCATTATCCATAACTGTTGAGTCTTGGAGCTTTAAGCAAACGATTAATACATTTTTAAAGTTATGTATGGTATTTTTATGCTTTTCATCGTAGAAATTTAAAAAAGAAAAGAATCTTATGTATACTTAGTTTATAGCAAAATAAAACACTCTGTTTGAAAAAGAAAGGGAAAAGAAAGAAAAGAGTTATGTCGATGATGTACTCGATCCAGACATAATTGGTGGTATTCGAGCAAGTCGATGTAATTTAGGAATTTGAGAGTCGTGATCATCATCATCGTTATGATCTTTTGATTTACGTAAGAAATCGCTCGCTGCTTGAAGTATAGCAAGATCACCTCGTCGTGCAATTGGTTTCAACGGACGACTGTCATCGTAAAAATTCGTATATCTTGACATTCCATTCTATAAAAATGTACATCCAGATAAACAGAACACTAAAGCAATAATGGGAATCAATTACTTGATATCGTCGTGGATCACCCTTTTTCAATCTAGAATCTTCATATAATACACCAGGCATTGGTTGAATGAGATCACCAACTTCACTCGACTGTTCGGGAAGTACTGAAAAAATAAAATAACTTTTCATCATATATTTATAAACGAACAAAGAAATAATCAAAAACTAAACGAACCAAGTTTAACATGAGTAAATTTCGGTTCAAATTGAGAAATTTTCATTTGTGACGGTTTCTTAGGAGGTGGTCGTGTTTCAATGGCAGCTTTTCTTGGTTTAACAATATCACAATTTACTTGAATACTAAATAAATAATTTAGAATTGTAATGAAAGAAAAAAAATCCTTGGGTTCAATCGAACCTTCTGCGTGTAAGTTTATCTGGATCAAGCTTAACCATAGAAATTACATTTCCATAATCATCGAGCTCGAGTTCTCGATAACCAGGCGGTCGATTAAGAATACTCTAAATTTATTAAATAAGCAAAGTATGCTGAATAAAATGGTTGCTTTGGAAATATTACTTTAAGCATTGAATGAGCAGCAATTGGTGCTTTAGCAATAACTTCTTCAATATGTTGATCGACGAATGATTTCGATTCCAATTTTTTCAAACTTTTTGTTGTTGTTGTTGCTGTTATATTTGTGGTCGATGCAAATGCATCAGAACCAATTTGTGATGATACTTTTGGTGCAATTAAACGTCGAGCCTTTGATGCAGACGTTGTTGTTTTTGTGAAATTCGCTGACGAACTGCTTGTTTGAAGTTGTACTGAATAGAACAGACCAGATAAGGGTTCTAACTGAAAACAAAAAACAAAGATAATCAATAAAAATCATTGTTTTTCTTTTCGTCTTTTATTACTAACCTTCGTTGGTTGATTTTGAATTACAAATATATCATGATTGTAAGGTTTTTGTGCAGCAGATAATTGACTGATACCTTTTCCGATTAGAGATTCCTTGCGAGCCAATGCTTGATCATCATCATTATCACTGGTGGATTGTTCATTAGTATTCGGACGATGATTACTCTCTGTTCGAGAACGTTGTTTTGTTTGAGTCATAGAATGAATTGAACTATTAACGGAGGAACTTCGAGAAGGACGTTGCGTTTGATCGAAATGTTCCGACGTTTGCATATTTATTGGAACGGTAACTGGACGTTCAACATCAATTAGTGGCGATTCTTCAATACTAAATCAAAGACATTATTATGCATGTTGAAAATCGATTGAAAATGAACCTTTGTGGACGTTCTTCTCGACAGGCCGGTACAACACCTTCACCCCAATTATCCATCGAACACGGAATAGGTTCTTCAAAAGCATAAAAAAAAGAAAGAAAGCAGACAATAAAAACACAATTAGTTGCTTTTATGTCTTTCACCTTCATCTCCAGCCCAAAAATCACTATCGATTGGTTTTGGCTCATCTCTTTCTAAAAATGCCCACTACAATAAGAAAAAAAAGAGAAAGATTATAAAATATTTTGTACGGTTACTATTTTTTATTACTTGAATAACACTTGACAAAGCATTTTCTGTCATCATCATTGTAAACGGTAACAATTGTCGATCGATATATATTTGTTGAATTTGTTTCGATGCATCTGTCCATATACTATCGAATACATCGGCAACAAAATCTTCTGCATCATCATTTTCTAATAATAATAGCCAATCGGTTTCATTAAATTTGCCGGGTACGATTTCTAAGATGTTTGTTGGTAGTTTATCACCTTTTAATTGATCTTTGCCGGGTGTTTTAACAGTTGATTTCGCTGTTGAACGTGCTGGTTTTGAAACAGCTCGCGATGCCATTTTTTAGCAACCGACAAAGTTCGGCAATCGATCAAAATTGTCGTTCGAATGACCATTAGTAAAATGTTTTCCTAGACAACCTTGAATTACCTGCAAAGCATTTTACAAGTGACATCTTTTTAGTAGTGTTGTAGATGGGCGTAGACGTTGATAAGATTCTTTTGACAAACTTTAAAGAACTTTTAGCCAAACTAATGGAACCAGCTAATCCAGGAAATGGATTCATATTACACTGACAATCTTATGAGTGAATCAGGTCAATGAATTTTTTAGACTTCCATTTTTTTCATCTTTCTTTCTTTTAATTATACGTACGTTTTCAATAGAATAGGCAAATAAACTTGTACTTGACACTTGAACACAAAAAAAAGAACCTTAAGTATAAATTTAATAGAAATACGCTCTGATCATATCGACATAGTTTTGAGTATAAATTGGCAATTATATTTTTCACATGCACACACTGAAGTTCATATTCTACGATATAGCTCATACTATGATATTACTGTTCGACGAGAAAAAAAAACAAATCAAATCATACCTAAGGTAGAACCTATTAGCGATGATCAGCTAGTAGGAATGCGATTAGTATGAAGATATTTATCGATTAAATACATAATTAATATGAAATAAAGCACTAGGTCGTACTCTATCAAAAATGAATATACATACGCATAAAAATAATGCAATTACAGAATTTGAAAATATACGATAGATACAGTAAGTGACTGAAAATTTGAAATGTATGTCTTTTATTTGTTCTTTCACAATGTCAAGTTTCTTGGCAATTATCAGATCCCAAGAACTTCGAAACTTTATCCTATTGTGAGTATTCGTGTTCAACACGTCGATGAGAGAAATTCTATCAGAGTACTGATTACGAAAGGACATCAAATGTTGGACAAGTATAATTAGGCAGAGAATCATATTCTTTAGCATAAAAATAATTTTAAGGTGCTTTTTAGTTTTAGTTAGCGGTGTGAAAAAAAACGATTCGTGTTAGAAGTGTATTTTAATTAAAATTCATAACATTCTAAATTATTCTTTTAACACCAACGGATGAGAATCAAGTTTCCAAGCCGTCAATGTTATTCGAGAACATAAATGCGTACGAAAAATATTTAAATACCAATTTAATCTTTTATCAAAAGCAAATACAATTTTTTATCGTCACCAAGAAAGTAGAGAAAAATTGATTTTCATTAAAATAATCATCATTTATTCTGGTAATAAAAAACGATCAAAGCCATTTGGCAAAAAAAAAAGATTGATATTGTGCTAGATGATGCAATATATCAATTTCTGACGATTTCTCAGGCAATATTTCTTCGACATTCGTTGATGAATAGTATGTTGAATCAAAATAAGGATTCATCAACGGAGCGAGGAGACTTGAAAGACAAATAAAATAATGCAAAAATTGTGATATTCCACGTAATCAATTTTAAGTCAATATGTTTGACAATAAAAATGACCTTGATTACATGTTTGATTCTCTAAGGATTCTCTCGCGTTTCTTTCATTTGCATTGATGACACTGGTGCATTCAAAATGTTTTCGGATTTTATATATTTTAAAATTTGGTTGGAGACCATCAAACAATTTAGATGATTTTTGGAAGGAAAAAACCAACGTTGATGTCAGCTTGATCTTCTTTTACATATTCGGTAGAATCGTTCGTTTACTGATTTGAACTATGGTTGTTGAGTGTAGATAAAGTTGATTGAGATTAGTCTCAGTCGAAGACAGAAAAAAATGATTGTAACCGAAAAGTAAATATGAAACTTCTCATTGCTTTAGCGACGGACGTACATTAATGATTACTTTCCAATCAAAGGCTTAAACAAATCCAATAGCAAAACAACAAATAATAATAAATTTAAAAAATAAATGCATTTTTGTTATTATATTTGTTCTATTCTTAAAATAGTTTTGAGTAGAAATTATTTGTGAGCATAAAGACAATATGAAAATAAGTTTGAATACCCAGATGAAATTGCAACGAAAAATAATTTAATAAATACATAAATATTGTGACGACAACACTGGCATAAATTACTAGTTTGTTTTAGTTAGAAGACCTCGATAGAATTCAAACATTGAATTATGTTAGTTTTTAATAATACATTTGACGAAGTAATAACTATGACTGATTCGCTGTCTACTATTGCGGAAAATAAATTCATTATAACACTACCATGCTTTCTCTTTTTTTTTAATATTTTACTACCCGATTTGTTTTGTAGCTGATATATTATTATCAAGAATATTCTTTAAGTTTATGCTTCTAAAGTTACTTATATATAAATATTCAATATGAAAATATACGGACTCATCTTATATTTTCTTGTTGAAAAATGAATTCTGACATGAAAATGTATTTCAAGATGTATCTTTACGAAGTTCGCGATTAAAAAATACATTTACTTTCGTATTTATAAAAATTTCATGTAACTATAATGGGTGCTATCCTAACTCGTACAGTATCTTGTAAAATATTTTCATCGATAAAAAGTTGGTAATTCAGTGTTTTAATTTAAGAAAAATTCCATTTTAATAAATTGAACTACTTATATTTGACTATATTATTCAACGAATCAATCGACATTAATCAATCCAAATATACTTTAGAAGAAGAAGAAGAAGAAGAAGCTTGGAAAACTGAAATTTAATCGGAGAAACAAGATAGAATTATCACGCTTTTTCTTTCTCTCAAAAAAATAACGAAATTTTAACAATAAATCCAATCTTGATGATTCTTTGGACGGCATGCTTTTGGGCATTCACCAAACGGCAGTTTTCCATCAAGACAACAAGGTCGCACACAGCCTATATAACAATTAGTTGCATCTGGTAATGGGCGTTGCATTGAAAACGGTTGTGTATCTGTACCGTAACGCATTTGACAAATAAAACTATCGTGAACAATAATACTTGATTTAGCGTGTGGCCACACTTCATTGGTCAGAAATGCTTGATCATTGATACCGGGATACTTTTGTACTAGATTTTTATTATGAATTTTATTATGAAGCGAAAGGGACATGGCTGGATCCAATGAGGGTCGAAATCCCCACATTCCGCCAAGCATAGCTGTTACATGCATTGGATGGTCACGCATAGCATGAAATGATTTATTTGTAGCCAACCATTCGTCAATAGCTGCACGTTCACGCTTTGTTAATGGCGAATCAAGATCACGGCTCATCACTAGAAAAAAGTGCTCATTCATATAATTAAATTTCATCAAAGTAAGTTTTCATTATTTAAAAATTAAGCATCCTTAACGTTGATGTCTCAACTGTTTTTCATATTATAAGTGATATTGAATGGATCTTCATAGTCATAGAATGAAATTTATTGAATAAATCCTCACATCGTAGTTAATTACCTTTGTCTACAAGCAAGCAAACTTGCTAAATTCTGTTGATCAAATCAAAAATTCCATTGATTTGTTTTTATAATGTAATATATTATATTCACGTCATAAACAAAAATCTATTTAATTCAAGGATGAAATATTTTGAAATATATTATTAGCTCTTTTTCGATAATAATAACACATATACGATGCTATTTGTTTTAATTTTTCTACGGAAATAATAACATTGAAAAATTAATTTTAGTTATCATATTACATAGATAATAAATCGTTTGTTGTCTCTTGATATAATATGATAGCTATATGACTATGTGTCATTTATTAGATGTATAGCAATACTATTATTACATTTATGACGAATACAACCACTGTATCTCTTAATTCTAGTTCGAACAGTCTTTTGCATTGCTAATTTTTCGTGTAAAAGGTCCGTTGGGACAGATTGCACTAAATAAGATAAGACTGTCAGCGCCTCACGGTGAATTCGTCACAATAAATAAAGCGGTTTAAAAAAAAAGATCTCTTAATTTTATTGATTGCATGATTGAGTAGTATTAGAGAAAGCAAGTAATATCATGTTTGATCTTGTGTGAGATTTCCTAAGAAACTCGATGGTATACGTGAAAAAAGATGTATTTTAAAGTTTGGTTTTCAGCTGATCTAACAGTAAAATGTATTTTATTCAAAACGAAATCCCTAAATCACAATTTCTACTGGATTATCAGAATAAATTTCAATTGATTGGTTAACTACGGCTATGAGTATTGTTTAGATATCAATTCAGTGAACTACAATTTCTCACAAATAATACGCAACTCTGATATTCTTTTTATTGTTCGTTCAATCATTGTATTCAATTGAACCTTTATCTACGGCAATTTTTACTTTCTTGGTTTGTAGTAAATTTAATTCTAACTAGAATGTATCAAAAAAAGTGACTTACTAGTATCAACAAGTGGATCACCAGCAGGTATAAAACGCCATATTTTTGGTGGAATGTAACGTTTAGCGATCATATTACAGAAATCAACATTTGAATATCGACATTCTATAGGACATATAACATCTGGATAGGTAACTGCGTCATCATGATGAATTCGTAGTATAAAATTATCAGAAAAGAATTTGTTTACATCATTGATCAGTTCATGTAAGAAATAAATCGTAGAATTATATAAAAATCTTTTATTTTCTTTTGGCCCATAAAGACTGATAGAAATGATGCGTTGATTCGGCCCTCGACGAGTAGCATAATCACTGCATACATCTGATTGATTTTTGGGTATCTTTGATATTATCTTCAAATCAATGGTAGGCAACGGATGTCTATCACATCTACATTCAGGTCGACGACGATAACTGCCTGTTGATGGCTGTTTTATGTTAGAGATATAATCAACAATATGAAATATAATGAAGACTATAAGACTAGATAACAAACATAGATATACCAAGGAGAGAAATCGTCGTCTATTAACCAACCAAAGCGGTAATCGCATAACAAGCTTTTAAAGAAATATTTCATCTTGATGATTAAAAGTTTTTTTCTCGTTCTGTTTTCTTTTTATTTAATCGAACCATTGAAGTCTTCTCTACTGTTCTTTTTTCTTTCAGTTGTATGCCATATTACAACTCGAATGTTCCAAAAAATCACGAAAGAATAACGTATTCATATGATCAAGTCTTGTTTCATGCAAACATGCAACGATAGATGAACAAACACTTGAGAGCAATGCGACGTGAAATAAATGACGCAACAAATGTAAACAGAATGCGAAGGTTCTTAAAAAACTCATCTTTTAAATGTTGTGATCATAATAATCTTCTTATCTGTAATTTTGAAGCTAATTATTTTATTGAGTAAAGTGGTGAATGTTAAAAATTGATAAAGCTGATTGAAATTGACTTTCGCGAAGGACAAAAAAATAACGTCTGTCGAAATCTAAATAAGAAGTTTCTCATTTTTGTATTTGAACGGATGGATGTCATTACCTGCTTTACAATAGAAGTTTTGATGCATGATAAAGTCAAAAGCAAGCATATAATTATTAATGTTTTTTTTTCTATTTTATTCTATTTTGACAAAAGAATCCAGTAGAAATTATGTGTGATTATAAAAGAAACCATGCAGATATAGGCTAATCAACTGATGAAAACCAGAATGAAAATAAGTGAAAAAGAATACGTAGGTAAGCTTTGCAACGAACGCAAACATTTCTTTTCATTTTTACCATGCAGATATGGTGACAGAACTGAGAAAAATAGGAGCTTTGTTTGATTACTCCTTCGAGGAACAAACGAGTATGACTCTTTTCATAGTTTTGTTGTCTCAGAAGGATTTTATATGAGCATGTATATGTTATTCTCTAGTAAACTTAGCGATCGCACAAAATGATAGGAACATAGTTATTTATCTTACAGCTACACAGTTGACGAATATAAAATTATCGTTTCTTTTTCCTCCTCTAACCAGCGCATTAAGCAGCATTCCAGTGGCTCCTCTATTTTCAATGCCTGAGTTAATACCAAACCATGAAAATTATTGACTGAGAGCTTGCGACTGCGATGATCGCAAAAGATTATCATAGATCAGCGACATTTGGAAGAGATAATTATGCGAAAAATGACTATTGATCGCTAATATTTTCCTTGTACGGTAAGATCTACAGCTACTTCAAAAATCTTATATGTGTGATACCTATGTATACTTGAATGATTGTCGAACCAATTTGATACGACTGATCTCTGGATTCTTCGTTGTAACCCAGATATATTACGGCTGAATTCTTGATCGAAGAATAAAGAATAATGTCAATATTGTGGTGCACTGTTGCTGTCTGAAAATTATTTGCAATATGGTTCATACTATACTAATACCGTATAGCATACTAATAATTTGCTGGAAGCGCTTTCTCTAGTTCAAATCATATGAATAAGTTTATTCTTTAACAATTAAAACAGCTTAGAGCAAATTTTTGTTTGTTAAACCGGTTTATACAAAAAAGTTATTCAAAGAAATCAGGATGGAAACAATGATACACTCAAAAACCCTTGAACAAAAACGCGTCCAAATCGATGTTGCCTATACTATTAAAAATTCTAACCAAACTATCAATTTTCATCCCATCGAATATCATCCATTCACTATTTATTATGTTGATTTTATTCTACAATCTATGAAACACAAAATACGTGATAGAAAAAGCTTTTTAGTCCAGTTGCGTTGGGACTAAAGAGTAGCACTCACATTTATCCTTTAGACTTACTAAACTGATGCAAAATAACTCAAGTAAAACATCTACCTTGATTTTCAACACCTATAATTAGGCCATGATGCATTTGCTTATGTTTTTAATGAAGGGTTACTTGTTACTATGTTGTTAGTGTCTATAATAGATGTGTTTGATGAATTTTGGCCCACGGATTTTTCCGGCTGGAGTTTCGAACCAATTTTAGGCAAATGCATCGAAACCTGAAAAAACCCTAATTTTCTAAAAATGAGTTTCTAGATGTTTTAGTGCTGAGCGAAGTGACGTAGTGCTGAAAACAGTGGTGCGAATGTAGATCGAAATATATCGACTTCGTGAATCACGAACGATCAGCGGCGAAGAAGGCATGAAAGAACATCGGAAAAAAAGGATTTATGAAAGCGCAACGTGACACATACCCGTTTTTTCCGTTTTTAAAATATCTGATAAACCCTTTTCCAAATCATAAACCTAAAAACTGCTTATTATCTTCGTCATATACGGAAAAAAGGGTTTACGATACGTTGCACTTTCATAAACCCTTTTTTTCTGTTAAATACCCCATCAAAAACGTTTTTTTCGCTTATTATTCTGCCGACTTTTTTTTTACAGTGAACACATATATGAATTATACAATAAGTGAGAGAGCTAATACATTAGATAACAATAGAATATACAGAGAGCAAAACTAACCAAGAACGAAAGATCTAATTTGATCAATCTGATAGTGTATTTAAGAAGAAATTGAACGATTTCAGAGGAAGTTGCATCAATACAATTCCGATGTCAATAAAGATAAAATTATTAATTGTCGATAAGCATCTTAGAACATCATTCTGAACAGCTGGATAAGTTTAAAAGGCAGGCATGTTCCATTTCAACAAGTACAAATGCGCACTTGTGCGCTTTCAACTTTAATATTGTAAATTTACGCATCGTATTATATTCCGTAAGACACATATTAATTGAACAAGATATGTCTTTGATTGTGAAATATATAATCCCAAGTTTGTGTACTCTTTTTCTTCTATTGACATAGAAACGTAATCATGTGACTAAAATTTTCTTAGGAAAACCTCGCTGAACCTGTAGTGTATAAATGAACAGCTTAGAACACTGTGACGTTTAGCTCAGCACGACATCGCTCCGTTCGGCACTAAAAAATCTATAGTTTTTAGAAAATTAGGTTTTTTCCAGGTTTCAATGAATTTGTCTAAAATTGGTTCGAAAGCCCGGAGATTTTTCGGACCGGCCCGAAAATTCCGTGGGTCGAAATTCCGGTCTCCCTAATAGATAGGCCTTGCTTTTTTTGTATAGTTTGTCATGAGAAAACAAAAAGAAATAGCAGCCAAATTAGTCTACTCCGTAGTTGGCACAATTTTAATAGATCTTAGTATTTTAGATCTAAATATCATATCTTATATTACTACGATCCTTTGCAAGACTATAGTCTCTTGCTTGACTCTAAACTTCTATCGTTTCTAGATTTTTATAATTCGATATGTCAGTTGAGTGAACGGAAAACGACTATCTAATTTGGGTAAAATACTTCTGTCGACATAATTTAAGACTATTACATTTTCTTGTATTTATTTTGATTGCTCTTTACATATTTTTATTTGATTTCTTTCAAAACGAATTTAGCATGATCATTGGCTTCATTATGCTTACTTGTAGTATCTGAAACAGTTAATTAAATTAATTAACTTGATTCCAATTCAAAAACTATTTCATATACATGATGTCTAATTCTATAAATCAAAATATTGAACTTAATCTTTATAGGTAAGATTATGTTTTTAACCGATCCAGATAAGAAAATGCTTTAAAATATGCTCAAAGGATCGGTATCTACATGATCGTTTAAATTCTTATAAATTTATTCGATGAAAATTAATATTCTTTTGATATTCATCGAGAAATCATATGTAGCCAGTTCTTACCGAAAAGAACTACAGACGTCGTCAGATCAAGGGGTGGGCAATAGAGACCTGTATGACCACGATTTTTTAGTCACGGTCACGATTATAGTCACAAGAAATATATGAATCCTGTTGTTGCCTTTAATTAAGATTTTATATTAAATGTGAACATAGCAAAAAAACCGTTGATTTTTGTATTTTTCGATTATATTATGAACAATATGTTTTAGCTTTTTCCTTCTATGCTAAGGTATTCCTGGTCACGGTCACGCGTAACCCTGACCACTTTGCAGGTCTCTAGTGAGTAAAGATCAAATATCAAAATTCGATGGTTAATTGTTTTTGATTGTACAGTACGCAATATGACATCATATGAATGCTTCGGTCATCCCTCTATGTTTCAAGTTGTTCGATTGGAGAATACTTTCATCTCAGCATGAAAATCATTATTCTTAGCTTATTTATTCTATTATTAAGGTAAACAAAAATATTGAAATCAATCTCAAATTTCATGGGTGTGGGTGTGCAACAAATGGACACTCACGCCTTTTAACTATAAACTTATTTCAATTGCACTATTTTTTGTGTGAAAATGATTTTTATTGCTAAAATGAATCGGATGACGCATATTTTAAATGAAACTTATTCTGGTACATATTTCATTCCTTTGAATTTATATGATAAATATTTTTAAACGCTTGAAGACATAAGAGCTAACAGAGTAAATGCAACTTGGAATTAGATGCTTGTCTTGAACATAAAACTTAATATTTAATATTTAAAAAAAACATAAAGCACGCAAAAATTTAATGAAATTAATCCTTCAGAATATCTGAAATTTTCAAGAGAAACTATAGTCCCCGTAAATTCTATTTCTTTCTAAAGATTCAAGTCGAAAGTAGAGAATCAATTTTCTTAGTGATCTTAACGGAAACTATGTTTTGTATTTGAAAAAAACTAAAATTACAGTGCAACTATAGAAAAAGTGAAAGCCTGAAGATTTTTTTCAAGATCTTGAAAACTCATTTAAATCAAAATACGATCAAAGCAACACTGACACATAAACAATCGATTCGTAAAGAGACTTCGTTGGTATGAATATCATAATTCGTAGTATTTTACTAGCCCATTCCCTCGTTATTTTATTTTCTACGGCTTATGAAAAGTATTATTGATAGACATCACTAATAACCATATCAAATAAATACAAAATATTTAAAACTGAACTTTATTTTTCAGAAATCGATGGCGACATGAAATGTCTTCAGTTGAAGTAGTTTTATAAAATTTAATGCGTTTTACTTCACAACATATTATTAAGTACATTTCTAAAAGATTTTCCTGCTAATTTGATAAATATCTGGTAACATATTGTTATAAAATTTAGTTACTTTGAATTTGAATTTAAAAATTTGTAAGGCAAGTTTATTTATCAGAAAATTTCTCTTATATTCAACTATTGAAATCACTGTAACAGTAGACAGGAATCAGCACAAACGCATCATAAGAAAAGAAGTAACTTCAGAAACAGTACTTTTATCAAGATAACAAATCGAACTCGCGTGATTTTTGTTTTCTTGGCAAAGAATTTCTTTTGAAAATTAACAATAAATCCATTCTGGGTGGTCTTTTGGACGACATTCTTTCGGACATTCACCAAAAGGTATTTTTGCATGACCACAACAAGGTCGCACACAACCTACAAAACAATCAGTTTGATTCATTGATGGACGTTGTGTTGGAAATGGTTCTGGTTTTTGACCATAACCATTTTTACAAAGAAAACTATCATGGACAATAATACTTGATTTAGCTTGTGGCCATACTTGTTCGGAAAGAAACGATTGATCACGACGGCCACCATAACGCCTTATTAAGTCTCGATTGTGAATTTTATCATGTATCAAACGAGACATGTTTCGATCCAGTGAAGGTCGAAAGCCCCACATTCCACCAAGCATAGGCACCCCATGCATCGGATGGTCGCGCATAGCATGAAATGATTTATTAGAGGCAAGCCATGCATCAACTGCTGCACGTTCACGTCGTGTTAATGCTGAGTCAAGATCACGGCTCATCACTAAAAGAAGAAATAAAACGTATTCAATTCTATTGATATTTCATGAAACATAGAAGGACATTATAGAAGAGTGGAAGCATCGTTATGATATGATGTTGAATATTGATTTTATCATTCCGTTATGTACATTTCTAATATTTGTATGTTTTACTGAAAAAATTTCTATATCATTCGAAAGACTAGAACATTCTTCGTCAGATATTTTTCTTATAATTAGTTTATGTACATAATATTTTTATGAGTTTCCGTGCGTTTTTATGCCATTGGAAATAACTAAAAATAATTTATTAGTCTTGAGATGTTATGCTCTTTTTAAATATATATTTTCAAATTTTTCTTTGACGTACTGCTAGTAAATGAATTTTAAACAAATCTTTCAATAAATAATAAAGTTTTATTAGTACTCATAAGATTACGAATTTTCTCGCTATCAATAACTGTTCTCAATATAACATTTTAAGGAGCTTTTGACTTACTGTTGTTATGAAGAATCATAGTTAATAATGAGCTAAAACTCAACGATCAAAATTCGCTTTTATCTTTGGTATGTGGAATTTTTTAGTACTGTTTGCAATGATGTTTAGCTTTAATCAAGATACTAAAATGTTCGATTTGGGAAATTTTATACCGACATCAAATATCTGTTCTAAATGAACAATGTTTAAGTTCGAATTCAATTAAAAATAAACACTTCTAAAGAACAGAACTGTCTGAGCGCATATCAACTTTCAACGTCATTCTTATCTATTTTTGTTTTTGATTGATTGGTTCTTAGTAAAAAATGAATTCTAATTAGAGTTCATCAATGAAATACATACTAATATCAACAAATGGATCACCAGCAGGTATAAAACGCCAGATTTTTGGCGGAATAAATAATTTAGAACTCATACTACAAAAATCAACATTTGAATATCGACATTCTATGGGACATACAATGTCTGACAACGAAATTGCATCATCATGATGAATACGTAATGTAAAATTATCGGGATAAATTATATTGATATCATTGATGAGTTGGTTCAAAAAAGTAAATGATCGATTATATTGAAAGATTTTATTTTCTTTTGGGCCAAAAAGACTAATAGAAATAATACGTTGATGTGGTCCTCGTTGATTGGCATATTGATTACAGAGATAATATTGAGATGTGATCATACTTGATGTTGACTTAACATCTAATTGAGGTAAATCAGGTCTTGAACAAGCACATTGAGGTCTTCTTCGACGGTAGTCAGTATTAAAATATGCAGAAATCAAAGGTGTTGAACGAGCCAAATAAAATAAAATAAAAATGCCAACTAAGCATCTAAACAGTAGACGAATCCAATAGCGATGCATCATTATCTTATCGCTTTTCTAATGTTTCGAGGTATCGTGTGGTTGCTTTTACTCTCAATGATTTGCCAATGCTTGGTATATGTTTCGAATGAATTTTAATTTATTACTTGTGGCATCCTGAAAGGGAAGATAAAAAAATTCTGAACAGGCGAAACAACTTTATATATTTTCGTTACTCTGTTTTTTGTGCAACATCCTTTAGTTTCATTTCAATATAGGTAGCAGAAAGACACAAGAAAAGAAGAAAGGATAGACAGAGAGAATGCATAGGTTATACACGCACACCTTACCTCCACTTGCTCTCTTTGAAAGTCTATTATTGTAAGAAAGTTATTTTACGTTTTCTTTTCGTCGGTAATATTAGCGTATGGCATCACAGACAGTAAGGAAAAACAAATCTTTTCTAATCTTTCCTGAATCCTAATTTAATACTAAGAATTAAGAGTTAGAATCTTCTATTCACTTGAATTACAAATTTCTTCGATCATGAATAGTAGAAGAGCACGTAAAATATTGTTGGGTTTGAGAAAAATAAACCGATAAGGTTCTAGATGATAATCTAGTTGTTAAAAAGACTGAGAAAAAAAATCTTGATTAAATGAGCCAAAGAGTATTTTTCAATCTAATGAAAGGCAAGCGCCGCAGTGATTACAGTTGAATTAGATTGAAATCATAGGAGCATTATTGGTTAAATCAATGAAAACATGAAACGCTTATTTTCTCTCTCTTGAAAAACACAGAAAAAATAATAGCATGCTAATAGGATATAGCTTAATTGGTGTATTATTTATCACATGGCTATTTTTATTATTCAATGGCAGAAAATGAAACGGAAGTTAATTAGACGAAAATTTGAGCTAGCTTTCAAATCGTTTACATAACTATAATAATGTTTAAATAGAACTAAATTGCAAATGAAGATTTTCATATAGAACTAAAATAGACAAGATACTGCTACACATAGTTTAACTACTTGGATAATTTAGTGGTAGTGTATTCTCTTACAATACTTTCTCTTGTGAAGTACCATTTATCTATAGTTGCTTATTCTATCCAGTTCTATATAAACGAAAATGTGTAAAATAACGTTAGCTAGTTCGCATTTCATTATGAGAAGTATTATAATAAAAAGAAATATAAAATGTTTAATCAAGCACATGGATAGGCGAGTCAATTAAGTCTCATTCACCCTTTCTCAACACAATCCATATTTTAATTAGTTCTCATCTCTTAATTTTCATCTCGATTTACTTAACCAAAAATAAAAATACTTATACGATGAAAGTACAAGATTTGTTAAATATAGGCAAGCTTTGTTTCAAAGCCTATCGTAGCAGATAATGCATAAAAATAGGCTAAAAACCACTATGTTTCATTGAAAGTTGTATACAAGGGGTCTACCTAAAAACTAATTTCATTTCAATTGATTTTTCTTATCAGTTTATGCAAAAATTTGTGAAATTTCCATCTTGAGATTCTACACGGCTGCCATCATAGAAAAATCAATAGAATAATTTGAAGTACTTGTCAACGATGCTTTTATTATACTACGTAAACTGCCATATGGAGACAAAGTAAACCTTGCACCGGTATAAAGGTAAGAACATCATACCAATAACGACGAAAAATATAAATAGGTCTGATACAGCGTTAATGAGATTTTTTCTTGTGACTGAATCTGTATTAATAAAACACATTCTATTAGCAATTCAAAATTCGATTTGTTATTATTGCATAAATAATTGAAAAGTTTGTTGATATAGAAATCATTTTTTTTAAAGAAAAATGACACGTTTTTCGTAACATTCATTTTCTAACGAATACTGTATATTGACTGATCTAACACGATGATCACTATTTCAGTCATGATTCGACGATGAAACTCATTATTATTTTATTGACATACTATACTTCGAAAATATGAAAATAGCTTACTCAGCAAGGGGGAAAGTGCTGGCTCCAAGCACCAAAATTTACTATAAAGTGCTGAAGGTGCTGAATAGGCGCTGAAGGTGCTGAACACGTGCTGAAGGTGCTAAAGGTATTAGTAGTTGTCGAAAAGCTACAGAAAAATAAAGGAGCAGTATACAACAGGATGACTTAATTCTCTATTAAACTCATTCTTTTCCCGCAATCTTGCTGAATACACTAATTCCATAATCAAATCAGAGGTGTGCCAAATTCAAGGGGGAAAGTGCTGGCACCCAGCACCGAAAAGTGCTGGATAGGTGCTGAGGTGCTGAATATATGCT